ATCACCACCACCACCACTACCACCACCACTATCACCACCACCACCATCACCACTACCACCATCACCACCACCACAACCATCATCACAACCACCAACACCACCATCACCACTACCACCAACACCAACACCACCATCACCACCACATAGACACATACCATCATCTCGATAATTGGTTGAGTGAACAAACAGTTATGCTATGTGTTGGGATTCGAACTCATGCATGGACGTCGCTTACGCTTTTGTATGGCGCTCGCTCTACCAGCTGGACTACGAAAGCGTAGGCAGTGTCCATAAGTGGGTTCGAATCCCATCGGGGCTAAACTGAACTTTTCGCAATTGACATACGCACTTGAAATCTGCCAAACAACAATTTGCACAGTTAGATTNGAATCTGACTTCCGGTCACATGATAAACTAAACAATTTTATTCTTAATTGGTGATTTATATATTTTGATGTAATAATGTGACTACTACTCACGGAAAATGAGCCTAATAGAGACCGTTCTACTATTTTAGTTAAAAATGTGCTCTATAGAACTAATTAATCTTTTTACTTTCAATTTCATTGCTATTTACTTTGGCCGTTATCTTATCCGATCTTATTTGGTTTTTATTTCTTCTGTCACTCTCTTTTGATATTGGTCAATTTGTAATCCTTACATTTAGAAAGGTTTTCTTTCTTTATCCTACAAAACCGTTCTTCACACATTTGTGTACTCCTATCCTGAACAGGACACCGAACGCATTTCAGTTTGAAATACGGTCCTCTGGAATGGAGACTTACTCTTCGTCCTGGACAGATTTGTATTTCTCTCTTGCTAATCCACCCCTCCCTACCACCCTCCTTCTCTATCGTCTACTTTCAAACCACATGTCCGTCGTCGAGCACAACTTCTCTAACACTCTTTCTCACCTACCTGTAGATGCAGACTATAGTCAAACCGATCAGGTGCCCAGTTTCCTGTGTTTCTAGGCCTTTGTTGAATGGACTTTTTTCCACAATCCATTCATCCAAGAACGTCGAACTTGAGAATCCTCAGTTCTTGTTGTTGATTCTTGTTTTTCATTCACAACTATTGAATAGGCCGGCACAGAATGAGTACAATTGCACTCATCTGTTTCGGTATACATTAAAATTAGCCTTTGTCACTCCCCTCTCTGGATGAAGGGACATCTCTAGTGATCGTAATTCGATCGATTGCGGGTTAGTTTACAATTCTTCCGGTAGTTATTGGTGTCTCGATGATGTGCTTCTCCATTTCAAACGAGCCCATTAGATCACAATGACTACTTCAACCAAATGTTTATTTATTCAAATTTGGACATGAGTGTATGTGTGTCAGACGTCTACCTGACTCGTTTTCCGGTTCGTTAAATTAATTTGTATTTAATTATCAGCGTTTCACTTTGGCCAGATTTCTCCGAGAACAATTCCGCTCCTCTTGCTTCAAGAAATTGACCACCTATCTTTATTCTTTGATCAGTTCATTCGTAAATCATCGTCTTCTACAGTTGCATTGCGTGGATGAACATTTGAATACATTTATATAAATTAATTGAGGAAAGGAGATTTGGGTTCAATTTCAAAGGCGAATTCGTCGTAAAATAAAAAGCTACGAAGCACTCACTACTGGACAGCTGTTTCGACCTAGTTCGGTCTCATCCATGCAGTGCGCGAATTCATCGACCCAAATGGAGATCGCAAACCCCGAAATCTCACAGACACAACGCAAGCATGGTCCGCATTCGGCTACCCCCGGGGTAACTGATCAGACCACTTTTTCACTTTCTATTTACACGAGATAGCACAACCCATGTTTGCGAGTTTGTTGCGAGCCACAGACTCCGCTCTCCCCAGCACTATCCTCCGGATTGTGATTCGGTTGGAAACACTCAAAACCTGACTACTTATTTCAATTGAGTAATGGAGGATTTGGTTCAAATTCAAAGGTGAATTCGTCGTGTATAGAGAGCAAATGAAGCATGAAGTGAAAAGCTATACACATATACGCATATATTACGTTTTAGAATATGCTGTACTTACCAATTGCCTAACACACAACAACACTCTGGATCGTGTCCACATACGAAACACTCACGGTACACACACATACACACTCATTCGATCCCGAATTTCGTCCAGTGATACATGTATGATGCATGCATACACACGCGAATGTACGCACACACATACACACGCACACACACACACGGGGGCATCCGTTTAACAGGACAAAAATTTTTACATGAAAAATGAGGCTACACTCCCTCAGATTGTTGATGCCAGTGCCACATTTTCTGCGAAAGTTCACTCAGTTTTTTCTCTTCTTCCGTACTGGTCCCGTTTATAACTAGATTATCGTTTGCTATTGGTTGACTGGACTGGACTGGATTGGATTGGATTTTGTTCACCGATTTTTCTCACTCACTCATTCACTCACTCCTGATCCGCATCCAAATTTGTTCGCCCACAAAACCGAAATTGTTTCGAGCACCGGTGTTCTCGATGAGAATGTATTCCACGAACAGGAAATCTGGAAAGCAGTTTTTTTCTTTACTTATACGACTTTCTGTAGATTGCCTTGTATTTGGCTGTGACACGTTGCATTAAAATTTGATTATCTTCTTCGGAATTAACATTTGCTTTATCTATAGTTGATTGGAAACTGTCAGGTTAGACCGGGTTCTCTGACCGCCACCCGGAATTGTGGGTACAGTTTGCATATACTGTTCGAACCCCGGACGATCCGGAATTGCCGAATAAAATCCACAGAAAAACTTGGTTGTTTGGATATAACGTGTGACAAATAGTCCACAGAAAATACGTATTAGATGGATCGATGCATTTCTGACCGGCTTGGTGTGTGATAAAGGACCAGTTAGCCCAGGCGATACTAGAACACTTCATCCGAATGGTTAACTGACATTCCGGCCGGGAGGAGAGGGAGCTTGTTCATCCGTAGACAAACATTTAAAACATCATGTACCTGACTGGTGAAATCAGGAAGTTGGTAAATGAAAACGTCGTAAAGATGTAGTTCAGTGTGTGTGTGTGTGTGTGTGCGTGTGTGGGGAGAGGATGTTTTTGATTCGAGTCCCGCAAGAGACACACAAATGGTCCGTATGAATGACGCTGAGGTTGGACAATAACAAATCCGCGTTTTTTGTTGACAATCAAATAAACAGTTCCATCGCGTAGGAGAAACAAACCAAATTTTTCAGGAGCAAAACATAAAACCAAGGACCCGTATGTACTCCCTATGGACCGTTTTTTATTATTTTTTTTACACATTTTCGTGTGATGAATAGCAGACGGGGTAAACCCCATACTCACGAGGACCCGCTGTTCAGCGATGGAAACCGGCAACCTAAGCCGCGGGACTTCGAGTAGCGAACCACATAAGTCCCCCAAAAGTTAGGTGTGGTATTGAACCGGACGACAGCACAGCTGCCTACCACCCAAGTTGGGTGGCGGTGACGGTGGTGAGGTTCGAACCTCGAACCACGGGGTACAAAGCAAGCCTGTGATAGTGACTAAACCCCTGTGCTATCACTGCCAGTCAATGATGCTCTCCTCATGGATGAATACGCCACGTTTTGGCCCGGGAATCAAAGCTAATATAATAAGTTTTTTTACCAACGTATTGCCTGACAGGAGAATTCGAAAAGTACAAATGGGTAAGAGAGGAACAAGATACATTATTTAACGGATTCATGGTTTAAATTGTATTGATTAGCCCCATTGCGTTGGTATTCACTGATTAGGGTGCATTCAATCGGTCAACTTTACCCGGGATGTTTGAAGAACAAACAGAAACGGGGTTTTGTCATGTTTGGACAATTGATGCACTAGCATGTCATTATCTCTATATTGTACAGTTTACTGAAAAACCTGCCTCCTGTTCCATGACAACAAAACAATAATAGCAATTACAATATTCATCTTACTAATAAAACAATGAATTAAAATAAATGGCTTGTCTATAATTGAGAAAAAGAAGCGCACTTCTTCGTTCATTATTCACGAATCGGTCATGAAACGAACAACTCATTGGTAATCCCACAACTAATGAAATGCTATGTGCGTTTACAATAGGGCTGTTGAACTATCTATCGCTCGTCTATACAGTTGGCGGATTTATTTTGGCAATCTATCAGTCCATTATTGATAATTACTGATCTATTGTGAAAGTTACAATCTGGACACTGAACTCAGTATCCGAACAGTGTCCTAATCAGCCGGCTTTATATCATACTTCACAAATATCTGCACATACGTCTCGGTTGCTCTGTGTACAGGGGCAATCAAGGAAATACAAGCAAAATCTTTCCGGTAACGCACCGCAATCACTCTTCTCAGACCGTCCACTTCAGTTGGATATGATAGTTTTGGATGGTTGGCTGTTCTTGTTATCAATAAATTATTTTTTGTGACAGCTCATTGAACAATTAAAGGGAGTAGGTAGAAAAATGCTCCCATGTGCCACTCAGTGTCATTCAGTGATTCAAAGTCAAAACAGATGGGGAACAGCAATCGATCCATCGTGTAGCCGGAAACCGGGAAGGAGGGGATGTTATTAGAAGAAACCTAGAAAGTATAGGACCAACGCATGAGCTACACATTGGTGTTGTTGGTTCGATTCCGGATTGATGAGACATTCAGGAAGCGGCCCGATAGTTATTTATCCATTTTGTGTGATTTTAGTTTCATCCCAATAACCTTCAAATTGAAATCAAGTACAAAAGCAGTCATCTCTATCAGATCACTGGTGGTAGACCACTATAAAACGTCTTTGTACACAATCATTGGTGAATCCGTCTACGATGCCTAACTTTGTTTAGATGGTGGTACAATTTCAGTTGAGTTGAGTTGTGTCTGTTGCCGTTCCTTTCGGATTATTTCTATGATTTTATTGGGCTGTAGCATTTTTTCATATCGATTAAATCTTGACTGAACAAACATTTTACCAGGCAACAAAGCTGCTTGGAACCAGTTAAATAATAAACGAAACTCGCTTTTGGTTCGTCCACGCTGTGGAACATGATCCAGTTCGAGTCAAATGTCTTTCTTTTTTCCGACCAAGTTTGATCAAATACCGAAGAGTAAACTTGTCTCTTACAAAGTTGATGAGAGGGCGCACGTGTGAGAGAG